TATATATATATATATATATATATATATATATATATATATATATATATATATATATATATATATATGCATATACAGGCGCGATGCCACGGGGGTGGGTCACAAATCGTCATTTCACTCGGAGAATGGAAAAAAAAAATTACAGTTTACTCGGCAAACTTGGTGGTCGGCATAATTTAAGAAATCAATGATCATGGTTTGTAACTCTCGAAGTTTTCATTTTCATTTCAATTTGGTCCTTTTCGAAACAAGATATTAAAAAGTATGAAGTGTGGATTTAATTTTAAAAATGTTACTCGGTAACCTTGCTCCCGACACCCCCAAAAAAATTTTCTAGCGCCGCCCCTGCATATATATATATATATATATATATATATATATTATATATATATATATATATATATATATATATATATATATTTGTATGTATGTATGTGCATAAATATATACATACATAATATATATAAGTATATATATATTATATATCTATCTATATATCTATCTATCTATCTATCTATATATATGTATATATATAGTATATGTATTTATATATATATATAATATATATAATATATATATATATATATATATATATATCATCTTCTGATGCTTTTTCGAATTTCTTAAAACATTTATGCAACTTCTCTTCCTTTCACTCGATCACATTGTCAGGGCTTCCCGGTTCTAATAGAAAAAATAAACAACAAATGTTATACGACTGAGAAGTAGCATCAGCCAACAAGAAAGACTGAAACACGAAATATGTAAACACTGAAGCAACAGAACATTCCTTTCCTGTATTTTCCTTCACCAACTTTCTAACTTTTGCAATTCTCTTCTCGTCTTGCAGTCAACTCCTGGTAATCAGTTCTTGGAACAGTTGCAACAAGAGCAAAAGAAAATAGTGGACAGTCTGGTCTGTCCCGCAGATGTCTTTGGTACGTTGCCGAGGTGTTCTTTCCCACACCTTATTGCTTCATTCTTTTCCTGAAAAATATTCTTACTTCCTGCGCACACTCACGCAGACAGTACTTTCAGATAAGCAAACAAACCATCTATTAACTCCTTGCTCTCTCTCTCTCTCTCTCTCTCTCTCTCTCTCTCTCTCTCTCTCTCTCTCTCTCTCTCTCTATATATATATATATATATATATATATATATATATATATATATTATATATCTGTCTCTCTCTTTCTCTATCTATCTATCTATCTATCAATCTCTGTTTCAAGGGAAATGGGCCATCAGGTATGTGACCCGGTGAGAAGCCCTGGACTGACACTTGACCCGCATTTTCACCTTTAACCTCGTGTTTCGTGTTGTTTCAACGCTTCTAATTCAATTTGCATAAATCTTTTGTGACTATTAGTGCTATATGTTTATACTACAAGAAAGTACACACCAAGGAACAAATAATATCCTACGTGAGTCTGTAATTCAAGAAAATAACAGAAAATGGAGAGAACGTTTGATCAGCAAAGGCAGACAATGCAAAGTCAACTGGGCACACGTTCGAACAACAGAACACTCACTTTGACATTCTTACATATGTTTTCATTCGGTGTTTGTTCTCTTCCAGTCTTAAACCTTTAGTCAAACGCTTTTGAAACCGTTTTACACCATCCGAGTCACAGGAGCTGGTCGACACTGTTACCAACGACCTGCGTGATCTCTTTTTCCTGCTGGCAATACTTTATATCACGGTCGCTTTATTGCTGTGTTCGATTCCCTACGCAGTAGACGGTTACTGTTGGAATTTACAATACTTTCATAAATTTTAAGATACTTAAATATACCGCAAGAAAACGGACAGTGCAGGAGCTTATAATTTAAATGTAGCGTTATTTAGTCATCAGTGAACGAAAATAATATGGCAGGAAAATTTCCTTCATTATTTGCCATTTGAAATATGTTCTCATAAGCTTTTGTATAATCTGCTCCCTCACGGCCTCTCTGAAACTGGGTTATGACTGATACTGAAATTAATATGGAAACTACTCAACTGTTTCTGTTCACGTCGTATAATAGCGCGCGCGCGCGCGTGCGTGTGTGTGTGTGTGTTCACATAAAGGAATCCTTTTTGTTTTACTTGTCACTCCTCACTCGGATGTAGGACCAATTTCGTGAGGAACGGAAATCAATTTTTCTGTTCATTTTGTTTATTTTCTAATTGTCTCCCAATTTTCATTTTACATTAGACCTTTTTTGTTGCATACTAAAACCCCTAATACTTCCATAGTTTCATGTATCGTGGTCCCTACAAAATACAATAGCATCAAAATTTGTACCAACATACAAAGTTTTGAAAAAGGAGAAGTTACAGTCTTTGATTTCACATAAAAGAGTCAATAGAAAAATAGAAAACCATTGAAATACTTCATATATTGGTATGATATTTAATCAGAAGCAAAACACTATGGAAGTTTCAAATAAAATGTAAAAAAATGCCTGACTATTCTGCAATGCTGTGTAATATTTCAAATGTATTTCTCAGATTAAATCAAAATATTTTTTTTCTTGTTACATGTATTGTTCTTCACATGAAAAGTGAGAATTGACACTTGACTCAAAGCCTGGCCTTTCCTCTATTTTTGCATTTTACTTCTAATAGCATCTCTTCTCTTTTGTCTTCATTATTAATTCTTCCCAAGAATATAAATCACTCTTTTTATATTCTAAAGAATAAACCCATTAATTTTATTAATTAGAACACATCGCAATAGTGCTATATAACTTTGATGTCTAGCACATTTATCCGTTTAAACCACTGACTTTTAACCAACGTGAAGAAAGAAAACAAAAAGTGACATACTACGTCAAAGAGAATTCGTAAAATAACGGTTAAAAGCACAATACAACAAGGAAATGTGATTTTTATAACAGAATCCTATGAACCAGTGGTTCCCAGCCCCAAGATCGCGACCCAAAAGAGGGTCACCAGGGTTTTTCTAAAGGTCGTCAGAGGGTCTTAAAAGAGGAATAAAAGACTCCATAGTTGGACATATCAGTAAGTTAATGCTTTTTATTAACACTTGTCTATTGGAATTCAATTTGTTGGTAATATAACTTGATAGAATTATAGAATAACGTAAGCTAATATACAGCTGCAAGAATAACTACCATGAAAATGGTTGGATAT